ATATTCAGCACACCACTGAATAATAAGTAGGTGTCCTGCATTCCGAGACAAAATGTGCCCACCTGCGAATAAAGTACATGCTTCACCCACAGGGAGTGAAAGCGAAAGCACGGAGAGGTTTTAATACTAACCGTGCTTTGTTTATCTAAAAATAAAATCATTTCCATTTCAATTTTCATACATTGTTAGAATGATCATGAACAAAAAGCGTTGGCAAGAAGATTGGCAGCCTCCACTCTGCATCTTATGTTGTGAGTCATCTCGTCTAATTTTATTTGAAAAATCTGCTCGGTTGCTTTATGGCACGAAAAAAAGAAGAAGGCATTAATCTTGAGCAAGTATGAGACTGTATGAAAACGATCAGGGCGGGGAGGAGGGGCGGAAAATTATGTTACACTTTTCAAAGACCCTTTACTTTGGATCCTTGACTCAGAAAAATTGCATCACCCTTCCCACAAAGGTGCAGAAAGAAAAACATATGCTGTGCTTTAATTTAAACCGTAGTATGTTAAAGGTATATCATTTTCACATAGACATAGATATCAGCAATTTCCCCAAATAATGTCAAACATAACAAAAGGATGCATCCTATCTACTGTATATTTTAGACATTCTTTATTTTACTCCTCTTCCCTTCAGCAAAAAATGAATAAATAAAACATCTCTCTCTGTTTCCTACACCCTCTAATAATTTGCATACAGTCCCTAAAATGTGCTAACTGACCTTCTAGGGTTTGGAAGAGGTAAAAGGTTAAGAAAACCAACACTTTTTTTGACTATCATCCTTTAATTACAAAGACAAAAACCATGATCCAAATATATATAATAAATGTGCATGTCACATCTTTAACTCCTTTGCTTTACTGCGTTCAACCACAAAAACCTGACCATCAGAAAAATGATGTCAAATAAAATCAGATGCAATTAGTGCAGACTGAGGTGAATACCGAAGCAGCAAAATGGCAGATTTTTCTCGCCCTCGGTACAAAATGAGACTTCAAGTGCCGCGTGACAGCGGAGCGTCTCCATTACAACACTGACGAGAAATAAAACAGCTTTTACCACAAAGCAAATCAGGCTTTGGCTCTGAAGCCGCGTGAGTGACACTGATCTCTCTGTGCATGTGTGTACGCCTGATCTTCATCCGTCCATCTATCCATCCATCCATCCATTTACTCTAAGCTCTTAAGCAGCGCTGCTGTTAAAAAGTCCCCTAAAACTCTAAGCCAAGAACGATAACATGAGCGGCAGGGGGATAATGTTGATGTAGTGTCAGACACACACAACTGACACCCAGTGTTACTCTCGTGTTAACAAAACCCATCACGGTCTGTCTGTCCGTCTGAAGGCGCGCGCGCTAATCTACTCTTAATCACAAGCTCTTATTTACAAAAAAAAATTAATGCAGCTGGGGGGGGGGGGGGGAGAGGAAGAGGATGATGGTGATGGCGATGGTGATGGTGGTGATGATTTTGTGATTAAATGATGCCACCGTTGTGTTGGTGGATTAGGACGGGCGTGGAAATAGATTAGTTCTGCAGTGGTTTTTCATCATGATTGGCAGGCCTCCAAAAACTCCCTCTCCCCTTTTTCTCTTTCTATCTCCCTGCCCCCCCCCACCCACCCACCCTATTCCTAAAGCAGAGCTTAGTTGCGCTCTATGGTTTGTAGGCTGCTAGCACCACCTGCTGATGAAGAAAGACCTGACTCCCCTTTGATTTCAGTTGAACGGGGGTTGTGCAGCGTAGGAGACGGCTTGACCCCAAAAAGGTTCTTCTGGCAAAGTAAAGGAACAAGGAAGGAGGGGGAGACACAACACGCGCACATGCATCCACGCAGCCTGCGAGGGAGTCGATGAATTGTGTGACGACAATTAAAATGATGCCATCACAACACTAAATGAGGGAAATGTCTTTTGTAAGATTTCTCTAGTTGACTTCCAGAGACTTGGAGCTGATCAGGCAACCCTGTCTCCTAAACACTACATTAATGTACAAGTAAGTTGCTTCCCCATTGCTCCAGTTGCTGCCTGGATGTTCACCCGCAATTCTTTTCCTGTTGTTGTACCATACAGAAGTCGATGGGACGTGGTTGGGTTCGGTTGGCCGGTGTTCAAAGTGCAGGAAAACACTTCGAGTCACTGTTGCCTTTTTCAGTTTTTCAAGTTGAATCTTGTTAGCTGCAAGTGGATATTATATTGCAAGAGTGGATATAATATGGTGAACAATTGTGCAATCTTGTCAGTGAATGTTTTGCAGACACGTTGAGTGAGAACATTTTGCAGGCAATGCTGATGAAAAAACATGTCCTCATTCATTTCTAGGACACAGGGTTGGTTTTGGAGGCTAGTGGTGGCCCAACACCTTCCTGAGACACTTTTTCTTTTGATTCCCCTCCCTTTGTATTTCCATACATGGTACCGTGGATCTCTGGGTTTTCCTGGTCTTATGTCTGCGTGTTCCTTGTGAGGTTTTTCCAGACTCGACTTGAGTTTCTGAGTGACAAACTTTCTGGACACGTGTTGATTTCTTGCGCTCAAATGCAGCGTGCGTATGCGTGACTGTATTCAGTAAACGTGTGAAGTTCTGGAAAGAGAGACTGACCACTACTCTGCCCTTCAGCATCAGCGGCTATCGCTCCCCTCTCTGCCTCCTCATTAGGGATTCTGATAGAAACAGAACACGTAGACACACACACACACACACACACACACATATAAATGCACTACACTCACAGAACACACAAAACACAGTTTGATTCTAATTGGGTGACCCAGAGCCACTGATATCATCTGTTATGGTGTGAGACCACAATCTCACCCAGAGCGGCCCCTGCAGTCACACCGCCTCCGAAGAAGACTTGAGGACCGAGGGAAGGGTAAAGAAAAGACAAATAGAAGACAAACTGGCCTGGGAAGGAAGGAGGAGAGGAGGGAGAGCACAACAACAACGACAAAAACACAAAGTGGCGCCGAGTTCATTAATTAGAATTTCAAATTGGACAAACTCAAGATGACAGCGTTGCGCTTGTCAAATCAGATCATGCCCCGGCGGGGTGAGAGAGAGGGAAGAGAGGGAAGGAGGCACACTGCTCAGAGCCAAACACCACTCTTAGCAGCTGAACGGGTGCCATCTCCCTCTCTCTCTCTCTCTCTCTCTCGCGCTCTCTCTTCCTCCTCCCCTCTCTCTCTTTCTCTCCATTTCCTCTGATTACGCCGACTGCCTCCCCTCTGTCCCCGCGTGAATGTCAAGGCCGCCTTAACAAGAAGTGACAATTAAAACATCATCGGCGTCCTCCGGCTGAATGGGAGCGGCCTGCCGGGGTCCCTGCTTTCTGTGAGTGAGAGAAAAGAATAAAAGAGATGGAGGAGCTGGAGGGAAGAATACCACAAGCTCAGAGAGATGGAGGGAGAGATATACTTTGGCAATGTATACTGGACTATTAGGCCAATAAAGCTTAATGAATTAAACTGATATACATTTATATATATGATTGGATGTGTATGTATGAGAGACGGAACAAAGAAAACAACCATGAGACATACAGTGCACATTATAAAGGCTTTAAATCACCATGTTAAGACAGATTCAGTAATACTGGGCCCATGAGATCAAACTGTCCATGTGATACAGGACCATCAGGATTAAGGGGGGGAGGCAATAAATGTGTTTCTCTTGATACATAGTGTGAATGTACTGTCCCGTAATCAGATGAAAAACCAGTTTTATGTTGGTACAAAGGTTGGCTGTTCTCCATAGCCCTATTAAAATGAGTTACCAGTTTATTAGGTAAATCTGGTGAGTTGAATGTAAGCCAATGTCTTGTATTTATGGGGGTGAACAACAGACCCATTTTCTGTTTGTAAGGACAGTGACGCAATTTTGTGGGCGGCACGAATCTGGAGGCAGTATAATTCCTAAAGTTGTGTTGGCTTGTTGTAACAAAGGCTGATGAACATAGTTTCTCTGAATATGTACAGTCGCTCACTCTCTAGTGACCTGATTTGTTGACCCTATACTTTCTGACGCAGTGGCCAGACATTTACACACCTGATAGAGAACCCAAGGGGTGCACAGTGAGCGTGTTGAATCCTTGAATGCCCGTAACTATCCTGCAAAAAAAAGTTGCTCTTCCAGCATTGGCAACAGCTACCGACACCGCAAGTACCCCCCCCCCAAAAAAAAGTCAGCCCACTACTCTGAGGTGATCTGTGTTTTTCCTCCAGCCAACATCGTAATGGCCAAATCATGACGATGGCAGGAAAAGAGTCTAAACCAAAGAATTCAATACAATATGATATCACTACTACTATGGTAAATGTGCCAAAGATGGATCAGAGTGTAACCTCTGACTGTGTTAAATCAGCTCAATGCCAGTGTCTCCATTACTTCACCCCATCAGAGTTACTTTAACACTTTGACATGGTTATGAATTATTGCCTCGGAGCCTCATGAGCAACTCATATTTGCTGTTTAGTGCTCCTGGAATGGTTTTAGTAGAACGTTCAACAAGCCCTTAAAATCATGCAACGTGTCCTCACCTGTCTAGATGTCATTTACATTAGATTAGACGTCATTTTAATGATCCCTGTGGGCGAATGATGGCGCGCAGAGATTGATTTATAGCTGATGATCATTAAACAAACCGTTGTGGGCATTTCATTGCAAGGAAAAGCAAACAGAAGAAAGGAAAGGAATCCAGACGTGATGATACATGCTGTGGTACTTTTACCAGTGGCCTAGATTAAGCTGGCTGGATGGTGTTTGGCATTTTGAAGTAGGCCTATCTGTTTTGCGCGTGTACTATATGTGTGTGTGTGTGTGTGTGTGTGTGTATGTGTATGTGTGTGTGCGCGCGCGCGCGCACGGTGCGTGTTCTACACCAGCTGTGCCACTGCACACAAGAAAAGAGCTCGTGCCAAAATGAGCTGTCTTCACAAAGAGCCAAAAATCATCCAGCACGAAACCGGGCACCCCCTTGCACACACACACACACACACACACACATCACACACATACAAACACACACATATGGACATCCATTGAACGCACAGAGGCAGAAACACAGACAGGACCTCAGTTAATGAGGCATGAATTTAGGAGTGGACACAGCGTCCTGAGTTTTCATTTTCAAACTAGTACAGTGTATCTTGAATTATGTCGCATGTGTGTGTGCGTGTGCAGAGCAAAACAGCCAAGGGCTCTCCGGTTTGATGGCTTTCTGTTATGGCTCCATTATGCTGATGGCTTTGGTTCTGTTCCAGGTTCTCTAGTGTGTGTGTGTGTGTGTGTGTGTAGGGTGGCAGGAAAACACTTGCACTCCTCAGCATCATTAAGGATTGTGGAGATGCTCTGCAGAGCCTGGCTCACCCTTAAAGGTCCCGGACCTTTGGAAAGTACACCTCTTTGAGTCGGGACTTTTATTGCACCTGGAACTATCACGCAGGAGATAAACGTAGCCCCTGGTTCCTCTGGTCCAAATGCAAGTTTAGTTCCTATTCCTATTTTATTTTGAGGAAGCAGAACAATATTCATTGCCTAAACAAACACAAAGTATCAGAGTGTAACAACCCACCAGGACAAAGGAAGGTCAGCCCAACCAGTACCACGCCCTTCCTTCCCACAATACATCTACATTACATACGTAGTACAAACAGTCACAGAGTAATATCTTTCTTTTTAACATAGTGTTTTAACTAACAGGGCAAAATACATTATATAATGATAATCACCATAAAGCCTGACAGTATTAATATGGAACATCCCTTGTGTTGCATTTACAGTACGAGACACCACTGATCTGTAATCCATCACCTGCATTCACACAAACTCTGGGCCATTTCACACAAGATATATTTTATGAATGACTGATGAATACTATTTGTCCAGTACTATCACTGACTGAACAACAAGTTCCACGGGATAAGTTTCATGTTACTTACAGTTTTCCGTTACATTTTTCTGATCCTCTTACCGAAAGGTGATGTTTGCAGTGGCCCTGGCTGCAGAATCTAAATATTTAAAATGTTTTTGTTGACAATGCAACTGCCTACAATTTAGAAACATGAACTCTGAAACAATATAATAGTGCAAACTGATAATTAAAAGGAACATTTCACCGCTGAGACAGCACAATGTTTTCACACCATACCCATAAGAAGATTAGTGAATTAGTTCAATTAGTTAAAGTCCTCTTGTAGATGCTTTGTAACTCTTGCACAAGTGATGTGAAATCCTCTGTAACTATAACATCTCACATATGTTTTCTCTTGTTGGTGTTTAGTCCCAGCCACAGCTGTATCCTGGATGTTGGTTGGAAAGCAGCAGGAAAAAGCTACTGTAAGTTATTGTGCACTATTGCATGAGACATTAGCCTACTTTTGTTAATTATGTTGGACAGTTGTGTGCTTGTCATTAATTTAAGCTTAAAAGGGGGCAAAGTGGTGTGACACACTCGCCGCAGAGCCAGCATATTGCAGTATAACTACAAATATTGCACATACATTGTTATATGTTGTTTTCTTAGTGATGCGAGTGCACAGTAGCCTTTCGATGTTGCATAATGGTATGACCTCCTCGTACACACTAATTGTGTGTGTTTCACGCTTCCTCTTCACCGCTACACCAGGAAAGTCCAGTCGCTGGCCGTGCGTCCATACTGTAAGGGAACAAAGGTGATGAAAAGGTAACAGGAGAGTCCTCCGGGGGGGCCGGACAAACATCTCACGTCGCTAAGCACTAAACTTCTCTCGCCCTGCCGCCGCTTAATTGCGAGCAAAACACAAATCAAAAAGTGAAATCAAATATCCGTGAGCAAATCTGCAAACTCAGCCACCGACGGAACACAACACAACAGAGCAAAAGGAACTAGAATAAAAAAAAAAGAAAAATATCAAAACAAAATGTTCCCCAATCCGTGACAGCCGCAGAGGCAAATCCAATTATTTGTGTCTCATGTTGCAAATTTGTTCTAATGGTCGAAGTGAGAAAGTAAATAAGCGCCTGCGAAGGGGAAACAAAAGAATGTGATTTCTAATTAACTTGAAAGAGGAACAGCAGGGCGACTTAGTAAACCCATCTTTCATCTGCTGCCTCAGACCACTCGTTTGTTTGTGGCACAATGTTGTCCTCAAGAGGGGCGGGAGGAGGAGGGCGCGTGTGTGTGTGTGTGTGTGTGTGTGTGTGTGGGGGGATAACACCGCACTGCTTCCCTCCAAATGAAATGTCAACAGATTTACCAGCGCTGCGGAAGGAGCGCAGCGTTTTCCAGCGTTTTGTCGATTTTATTGTTCATTAAGCTTCACACCCCCCCCCCACCCGCTCCACAACTCTTCCTCCTCCTCCTCCTCCTCCTCTCCCACTTGTTCGAGGCTTCATTTGCAGCATCTTGGCTTTGAAGATCACAAAAGGCTGAGGCAATAATTGGGTTTGTGCAATTACAGCGAGCTTAATGAGAGAATTCAGGAGTTTGTCTTGCCCCTATCTCCAACTCTCCACGCTCCACCATTAGGCCGACAACCGTCTCTCTCTCTCTCTCTCTCTCTCTCTCTCTCTCTCCTCCCTTCCCCCCCTCTCTGAAGCACTGTCGACTTAGGGAAGATGTTATCGGATGTAAAGATGTGGTTAACACATTGAGAACACACATCACGCATGCACACGAGGCCGGGCTGATGGAGAGAGCAGATATGCTAATCGGCTGACCAGAAAAACAAAACAACAAAAACACAGACGCAGCACAGAAAGTAAACAGAGCAAGAGAAAGGGAGACAAAAGCAAAAGTCCCGAGTTGAAGAGATAAGACGCGTCAACTGATCAAAGTGTTTAGAGGACATTCAGGAGATTAGGAAGATTCAAAAAATGAAACCCAAAGGACACTATCTGCTCCTGTCATTTGGACGTGTGAGTCTGCAGCGCCACCAGTGTGAATCCAGTCAAAGTCTATGATTCATAATCAGTTTGTCAATAGAAACAACTAGGCAAGGGCACACTGACGTTTAATTGTGAAAGATTTATGAAAACGCCGGTAAATCAGAAATTCAAAAGTCTAACTAGTTCATTCAGCTTGACTGTGTTCAGTTCAGTCATGCATTCTAAGCGCTGGCAGAAGAAGCATTCAGATCCTTTTCTTGAGTAAAAGCACTAATACAACAATGGAAAAATACTCCATTACAAGTAAAAGTTCTGCAGTTCTGAACCCTGACTGGACAGGGGGAAAGATTTGGTGTACGCTGTACCGAGACCTTCTTAGTCTGATAGAGATCTCAACCATATGCGGGCCTTTCCAAGTACAAGTGAGAAAATAAGGATCACATTCAAGCTCATCACACCCCTACTAATAATAGGCTCATTACACATCACAATAACAGAAAGTCGGCGATACATAACACGCTCATTAACACAAATTGAGCCTTCAGCAAGGAACATTATGAATCTCTTTAAACCTGTAGCGCTGCTAACTGCTGTCGAGGTGCCGTGTTTGTCGGCTATGTACAATATTACCAAGTCATTACTCACTACCTAATGTGATAATTCACTTATTATGTACTTGCAGGAAGTGGATATACAATGAGGACCAATGGGGGTTTGTTAAAAATAACAACTTAATACTTTGATCTCATTGAGTTACATAATAACCACTCAGACAGCAGTCCAGTAATACAATTATGGAGACGCAAGATAAGTTCATATTTGGAGGGAATATTAGTTTTTGTTGGGTCGTGCCTTTCTTCGACCATATTTTCAATTTAGTGAGTAAACATTTATATTCATTTCACTTCTTTTTTTTTTTTTATTGGGCAGAGATGTGACAAAGTACAAATGTTCTCGGCATTGTCATTTGGCACTAAAACTGCTGTCACTTGCACTTCCATCTCCTACAATCATATCACTGAATACTTAATTCAAGTTACCTATTAATACATGGAAATAGAGTCCTGAGGGTGACAGGAGTGTAAAGAACACAGATGTTCAACCAGCTGTTACTGAGAGGGGGAGAAACATCTGTGGGATGTGTGTGTGTGTGTGTGTGTGTGTGTATATGTGTATATGTGCATGAAAGCATGCTTCGGTGTGTCTGTGCATCTACCAACCTTTATATCCGTAAGTTCCTTTGCTATCCGTGAAGCCAACTGTGACTTTTTATCCTGACAGGGGACGTGCAAGTTCTGAGACACACAAAAACAAACAAATTTGATCGTTTAATCGGCTCTGAGAATCGACTTGTTGCAATATAAATCATGAGAACATGGAGAATATAAAGTAAACATATTATGGTATTAAGCAAGAAGCCAAAGGGTTCTTACAACTTGAAACTTGAAACTGTCCATGTGGTCACAAGAGACCCACAGCCTCAGTCTGCAAAGCACTAAGCTAGTAAAAAGTTTAAAACTATTCACATGCAGTACTTCGTAATACAGTAAAATCTCTTTTTAATATGAAAAATGTTATCTATTAAAGATAGCATAACTTTTTTTTTTACAATTGAACTGAAATAAAAGGAGGCTCTAGACGTAAAGTCCAACTTTGAGAGAGCAAAGTGGGAAGACTTAACGTTTAAGACTGAGGTTTTAGCTGCAGCCGTTTAGCTTAGCTTAGCATAAAAACTGGAAACAAGGGCAAACAGCTAGCCTGGTTCTATCCTAAGGTAATAAAGTCTGCCTACCAGCGCCTCTAAAGCTTGCAACACATTACATCTCTTTTGTTTATTCCGACAAAAAAGGAAGTGTACAAATGTAAAGTTGCTGTTTTTAATGGTTTTATGCTTTATTTTCGAGGCCAGGGGCAGTCACTATGAGGTTACTAGAAAACCTGTAATCCTGTATACATGTAACAAATGTATTTATTTTTACATTTGAATGGAGCTAGGCTAGCTGTTTCCAAGTTTTTTTGCTAAGCCAAGCTAATCAGGCTGTAGTCTGTAACTTAATATCTACTGGAGAGATACAGCCTACCTCTCTGAGAGAGGTACAAGAAAGCTAATAAAAGCACTTTTGAAAATTTCGAACAATTCCTTTTAAAGCATACATAATAATACACATCAAATACAAAAAATATCGAGTACACTCTGCAGTTGATTTCAATAAGTGTCCATGGCTGTGTTCATATTAAGATTAGGCTACATGATAAAAAATTAATTGTTTGAGGAAAATGTTTTCCAATTGAATTAAATATGCAATAGTAAACTGGTAGACTGTATTAAATACAAGCAATGTGTCTGCCACTCTCTCTCTCTTACCTCTCCCTGGTAAACAATGTGTCCAATGGGACAGATCAGGCAGGCAGTACCGGAGCCAAATACGCCTTTGACCCGCAGCTGCTTCAGAGCAGAGCACAGCTGGCTCATGGTCAGGTAGCGCTCTGTCACCTTAAACTCCCCCTGGGCACAGAGGGACCAGAGGAAATGCGATGACTATTTTGGAATATCCGTCCATGCATGTTGACCTTTATGGTTGTTTTGGTCTCTCTCACCCATTTCCTGGTCAGTTCCAGGATGCTCTGTCGGGTTACACCTGGGAGTATGATGCCATCCAGAGGTGGAGTTGCAAGTTCCTCCTCTGTAAAATAATAAAGTAATAAATAGAACAAAGTAAAACTACTAAAAAAAACCTACTGCTATTACTGGAGATCCTGTATGCAATTATCTTATAGTGATATTGTTCTGTCAATCTGATCTGTAAAACGTTTTGTATCCAAAGCACATTACTGTTCATAACCTTACCGTGAGAGTGAATAGTATTTGCATCTGTGGTGCATATGGAAGTTGAACCATTAACCCCTTTGACCCCTTTCGCCTACAGCAAAACACAACAGCTTGTGATTGGCCTTGTGCGGGTTCTGGTCGTGTGACTGACCTCCATCCTCATCGATCCAGTGCAGGAAGATGTTCATGGTGCCTGCCTCGGTGATCTGGTGGTCCTCCCCGTACAGCCACAGCACCTGCTGGCACCCATGATCCTCTGCTTCATACTGGGCGAACAAAGAACACCCGTAGTTTCTGCGGAAAAACCAAAACAACAAACAGTTGTATGTTTTGCCAACGTTTCATTTGTTTGAATTCAGTGAAAGACTGTGCTAACACAACAATATGTCATGTTGTTTTGGGTGGCAGAACTGTCAAAAGCTCGCAATTAGGTGCAATGATTGATTATCAGTGAATAAAAACTAAAACATGAATGCAGTAAGCGCCTACCCACCCTCCCATCTTGTAGTTTCCAGTCCCTCCTTTCCAGGCCCGTGTGTACTTTGGGTCGGCCCACAAGGACAGACTTTCTGCCTCACTGTTGAAGTAAGAGCCCACTCGACACAAGATCACATACAGCAAGGCATTGGCAGGCTTCTTTATACCCAGAGATTGCTGCCGTGGGCATGTAAACACATAGTAATGAATATTAAATGTAATCTAATTAAAAAGAACATAACCGCCTGTCTCCACATATACTGCAACCACTCGCTATTCTTCTTACCTCAGTGCCAAGAAATGTCGGTCTGATGTACAGACTGGCTGAGTCTGAGTGAGGAACCCAGTCCTGGTCGATCTCTACCAGTCGCCTGATGCACTCCAGCAACTCTGACTGATCAAAGGCCTGGAGGAGGGAGGGAGTTGGCAAGAGAGAGAGAGATGAGCAGAGAGGAGGTGGAGAGGGAGAACTACTCATTCTTCACATCCATCTTACTGGAAGGCAAGCTCTCTTAGCAGTGTTGGACATGCGGTTCATGTTGAGCATCGGTCTGAAGAGACGCAGTTGGTTGTCGTCCCCACGGAACGCCTTCAACCCTTCAAACAGCTGGTGAGAAGAGAAGAGAAGAGGGTAGAGATCAGGGCCGTAGCCAAGGTTTTAGATATACTGAGGTCATGAGTTCCTCATACATCCACCCCAACCAACCCAGGCACCAAAAAGCAGTATGACCAGTTAAGCCAGCCTCCTGACAGAAAGCAGCAGGAGAGGACATATCAAATCCCTTTTCGCTAAAAGGTATAAAAAATTAGTCTGAATGCTTCCTGCCTGTATGCCGTAGTGTAGTGACGAACAGGCCGGGTGCAGAGACAGGTTCCCAAAGGGCTTGATGAGCGGAGCCTGCCAGCCCTCACTCGCACTCCACTCTATGGTCAGCATGTGGTCAGTGAAGTCGTTCCCGAAGGTGACCTCGTCCTGTTTGGTCTTTGGAGTGGAGGACAGCTCGATAACCAGGTCAGCTGCCTGGTCACAGGACAAAACAGCAGAGAAAATAGTGATGTTAAAGGAAAAGGTGGACATGAAACATTGGGGTCCCCGAGTTCTCCATTCTGGAAAGACAGACACTTTGGCAGCATCTCTACAGATGTCTATCCATCCAAATAAAAAAATCGACCCTTTTTAAATTAATTTAGTGTGCCTGCTATGCAAAAAATAAACGTGCCTGTTATTCTGATTGTTTTGCAATCTGTGTTTGGCCAGCAGGGGTCGCTGTCTGACAGGCTAATTCAGAGACTGCTGCCAGCAACATGACCCACAGTTCACAGTGACCTGACACCAGAACATTCACACAGTCACGTGATTGAGACAAAGACAAACAGAAAGGAACTGTCAGGAAAAACAGAGTGCTACTTTATTTAGATCTGCAGTGAAGCTGTCTTTCTCAACTACCCCTTTTAGAAGTCAAAGGCCATAGATACAGAATAGAATAGCATCAAATTAGCATTGAGGGAGCTTGGATCTCAGCCCAGTCTCTGCGTCACTTATTTGTCCCCATGCTACCTTTGTGGCGCTGCAGTAACAGCAGGTCGAGAAATATTATGTGTCATATTTATCAAGAACAAGTGGCGTCCTCCTCCTGCTGTTCGGCTACACAGAATATTCTGATCCTTCCTCGAAAGAGTTTTCCTGGTCTGCCTTTCAGATTCTTTCTCTGTTCCACTTGGTTGGGATTAGACTGGCTCTTTATCCCCTCTCTCCTGGTGCAGATAGTTGTTTGCCCCATAATCCCAGATGTACTGGAAAGTGGCGGGCGACCACAGTACAACACCGTGTGAAAGAGGTCAGAGTAATGCAAATTCTTTTTCCTCTGTAATTCTATTTTTTTTCAGTATTACATCAAACGCCCACAAGCATATTGATATACTTGTTTCATTGTTTAAAGTTCCTTTTTCACAAGTGTGTCTTCTCTGCTAATGCTCGTCTCCAATCTCCAAAATCCAATGTGTCTGAGTGGTTGTGTGTGTGTGTGTCTGCACATGTCCACCTTAATCTCTACCTGAGCCTGCTGTCTGCTGCATTCAGGGTCAGAAAACAAGCAAAGCTCCAGCTACTTAGCGTGAGCCGGGAAAGTGGATTCTGCTGAGCAGGCTGCTCCAGGAGGAACAAGGAGTACAGGAGTGGACGCTGGTCGCGTCCTTCCCGTAAAAAATGGTGACAGTACCGACGTTATTCTGTTTAAAAAGAAGTCAAGAGCTAAATGAAATGGTTTAGAAAAGGCTCACACAGATTGACAGCAAGTGGACTTTATTTTTTTGGAATATCCTCTGGATTCGTTTTTCATGTGTTTACTGTCACAATAAGAAAACTGTCTGATGACTGTGGCTCTCGGGGCCTTTCAGTGCTGCTCCTGGCACCATGAGGGTAAGAAGAAGTGCTGGAGTATCTTCTATGTGGAGCGACAGGGAGGTTTTTTAGGTCTCAGGAAGCCAAGGAATCATCAAGATGCTGCAGCTGGAGCAGCTACTGGGGGTATGTGCTCTTAAATCATAACGCCATTCAGACATCAGGCTGAACTAACACCAATTGAAGTTTAGCAAACCATGTATTCTACAAACCAAACATCCATTTGAATAACTTATTTCAATACCTTGAAGCTTGGAACGCTGCCGTCGGCCATTGAGATGGTGGAAATGTAGCTGCTTTCCTGAAAACAAATAAAAAGACAAGACTTCAAATGTGCACTCTTTTCTTCAATAACAAACTTGAACATGTACGAATCACTTAACTAACGGCATGCCTCAACAACGTTTACATTGCAGAAGGAAGGTGCTACCTAATGGGTATTAAAAAAATGATGAACTGAGCCAGCTTTTGAGCACTAAACTTCCAATCCTTGCCTCACAACAACATATTGCAAACCTATTCTTATTAAAAACACATGTGTAACTGCTGTAGAGACCCAATGGGCTCTGAGTATTGTACATTTTGGTATTTCTCTAAGGCGACGCAATCAGCAAGTATGAACTGAATGTGGATGTCGGACTTTGTTATTGATAATATCATTACAGCTCTGTTTCTATGATTTTTGTTTTTGCCAAGGTTATTGATTTCCATCATTTTATACTTTGTCAAATGTCTTTTTAAATGCAGGTGTAAAGAGAAATAGGCCTTCTGATGGAATTCCTGTATATCATTGCTCTTCACAAGCTACATAAGGCATTACATATCGGCTAAGAGGTGACACTGCATGATAATCGTCCACATAGGAGCTTTAACGTTAGGTGTCCGAAAACATCTGTAATTCGGCAGCTGTAACATCAATTATTAACACGATGTACCTACACACACCGCCAGATTAAAGCACAACCTGCGTCACCAATATGTATCCACCAACACTCACTCACGCGTAATCTAGGAGTCGATATTGTTGCATAGATTACCTTCGGACCAGGAGAGACGTCTGACACAGAGGTTGCTGGTGAAAGTTATACGTGCACCTTCACGTCTTCCCTGATAAACCGCTTACAGTTTAGCTCAGGTTGAAACCGGTCCCATTACCGTGTTGTCGCGACAACAAACGTGCCAATTACCCCAATTAATATTTCAACACCCCTGGCATGGTGACACTGAACTGCTACGAAGTACGTCAGCGGCTCAATATTATTATCCCTGTCTAATAGGTCCATGTACGTTTTTATAGTCTGTTTTACCGTTCAGTCGAAAATACGGAAATGCTCCGTGTACGTTAATTTTGATAGTCTGTTTTATTGTTCAGTCGAAAAAACGAAATTACGGAAATACCATGGTTTTCTCGTTTTTCGTTTAAAACCAAAAAGGGAAATGCGCCGTCATATTTCCGTTTTATTGCTATTTTTGTCATGTTTTTTATAGATTCCACTGCAATATTGAACTTTCTGTGTGTGTGTGTGTGTGTGTGTGTGTGTGTGGTAGGAAGTTGGCTAGTTGTAGTTGAGACACTAAAAGGGGGGACTGACAATGGGCACAAACGACTTAATTGACTGGAGTATGAAAACTTACAAAACCCAAATATGAAGTTCACCCGTAGCCTGTTGCATTGGGTGCAGTGTTCCCTTCAGGCCGCAGGGAGGAGCTGTTGGTTTATATTTCTTAAAGTCGTGAACACCCACCAGGTTTTCTTTTAACTCTTTCTGTCTCGAGCGCTGAGTTTCAAACATACTTGTGCGCGTGCTCTCTTGTGTGCGTCTCTACAGTTAGCCAAACATTTCGACGTGGATATTTGCTCCTACAAGCTTTGCGAGGTAAAACAACCACTGTATTATGCCTGCTAAATGCTATCTGAGAAAGTAACACGTAATATGTTTGTTTTAGACTTGGTGTTCGGCTGCATTGTGTTTGTACGGAGATACGTTTGTGCTCGAGTCGCTGACCAATTAAATATAAATCCTGTATTGTTAGCTGTCGTAGTTGTTGACACTTTTAGTGTTGGCTTCTAAATCTTTTAATGCTTTTTGTTTTTCTTATTTCTTTCTCAAAGGGTAGCTTAACCTGAAAATAAATACTGTAATGAAATGAATTGTAATATCAAGTTTACATTTTATTTCTAAAGCTGAGGAGTTGTATTAGACATTTAAATATATTTTCTGAAATACGACTGTTTGAAGTTTAAAAGCAAACTCTTGTATTAATTACCTAGTCTGCGCACCTGGTGCTTTAGGTGACGCTTTGATTTTGATCACATTTGCTTTAATTTTTTCACGTTAAGAAGACTGGATTAAAACCGCATTCATGAACAGTCATTTCTTTGGACTCCTATCATAATTTTGTGCCTTTTTATTGAACTGTGTGTGGTTCAGGCAGCTTAAAATTGGATTCCCCATTTATCCCGCTCACTGTTCATATTGGGCTACTCCATATTGGTCTCAAATATTCCTAATTATTCTCTGTATCCCGGAAATGTATCTTGTTCCACCATTGCAGCTTCACCTGCTGATTTTATTGCTTCTAATCTTGGAGTTAGTCCAAACAGTGAAAGCAGTTTAGTCTGAATGTGCCAGTTATCCACTGCAGGAGAGGTGGTGTTCATCTACCAACAAAATAACCATGGGGTTTTCTCATTTTATAGTTTCATATTTCTATATTCCTTTGTCTCTTTGCATGCAGTTCAACAAAACATTTTTTCTCTGTTTCTCTCCTCAGACTTCAGCCAGGAAGCCCTGCAGTCAGCAGCATGGACTATTACACGCCCCAGTCCAATCGACGCCACAACCCCGTGGACAGCATCTGCCGCAAGCTGCAGACCATTCAGTGGCGCGGTGACCGCGAGCCCAATTCACCGTTTCAGATTCCAAAGCTCTCGTCCAGCAATTACGACAGCCCGCAGAGCGGCCTCCGGCACAACCTGGAAACCATCCTGAAGAAAGGGACCCTCCACAGAGACGAGGGGGAGAGGGGGAAGGGGAGAGGGATGGGCACCGCAGCTTCCCAGAGGAGCAGCATGGTTCCCTCTGTCCCTCCGTCCACCCCAGCATCCAACCCCTCCACGCCAACTAACGTCACGTACACCATCACTAGCACTCTAGGCGAGAGGAGAAGTGCTGATGGGAGTGATTTAAGCCAAGTCAAGACATGGCAGAGGTATTGCTCGACGCCATCGGGCCCGTCCAAGGACTCCCCTTACTTTACGTTCACGCGAGGACCAGAGTCGGTGCCGAGCGAGAGGCCGAGCAGGAGCCCGCCTCTGAGTCGTACATTCACCCCAAACCACAGCACCCTCTCCTACAACCTCAACTTCTGCTCAGCAGACACGGGGAACTCGACTGAGTGTGAGCTGTCCTACCCAGCTCTGGTCGTGAAAAGACTGTCCATGGGAGATGGAGGTAGGTAGGAGCGGCTGCTGTTGTAGCCGCGTACTTGCTGCGAACACAAGAAGGATAAAAATTCACAAGCTTTTTCCCCAGAGCTTTCAGCCACATGTAGTGGTCTTCATCAGCAGATGGATATTTTCTGTTTGCTGAGCAAACTCCAGCCACTGATGAGGAAAAAACTGAAGTCATTGTGTGTGAAAGAAATGAGGGTTAATGAAAGTTTCTAGTTGTAGCCTCAAACTAACTTATTTATGTAACTTTGTAACGGAGAGTGTGTCTAGTCATCGCACTGTTACAGTTGTTAATGTGTCTTGTCTGAAAATGCATCATGTGCTCGTTTTGCTACTCAACTCAATACACTCTTTGTTTGGTTTGTGTTCACGTTGCATATTCATGCTCAGGATCCTCAATGACGTCTGAAAGCAGGAAGGAGAATATGGCAGAGATCAGCCTAATCTGTGAGGAGAATCTGCTCGATACCATCTTCCACGCCTGCGACACCCAGCGCCGAGGTACACTCACGCAAACTGCACACGGCCATGTGGTTGGCTCCAGCATTTCAGTCTTCCAGCTAGCTGAATGCGGCAGTCTAATTACTAATTCTAACTTGTCATTGAGTATACTATTGTGTGTTTTTCTGTGTAGAAGGCAGAAGTAATTCACACGGTATCAGCATTGTCTTGTGCCTCCGAGCTTTGGCAACACAATCTTTTATTTGTTAAGTTTTCTCATTGGTTGAGAGTTCTTTCAATATTTTGAAAGCTTCTCTGCAGTGAACCGTCTTGTGCAGCAGAGGTATGGGGTATGTTATGGGTCCATCTTTAAAGAAGTACGGAGGATGTGGGCTTTAAAAATTTTTTTTATTATTTTTAACAATTTTTGAAAAGGAAGATTACCGTTTTTGAAGTTTGTTCTGTTGAGATGATTCTTTCCATCTACCTCGATCCTATTTGGGTTTATTTATTTAATTTTTTTAATTATGGCTTTTTCCATAGATGGTATTGAAAAAAATAATAAAATTAATAGGACTGGTAGTAGTTAAGTTAAAATGTGTTCCCACCATGGTTGGTGTGATTTAACTTAATTTTGAATGTGTTTAATCTCATTATTGGTGTGGAGTTATAGCGCATTTCTGTCAGATTCAGCTTTGTGTTACAGTTTGTTGTTTATGAAATGGAAACAGTTTTGGGGAATAGTATACGTAAACCTGTGAAAATAGTAAAAGATACACTACATGGAGTATTGCCAGTGAAGGAGTTTTGTTGAGATATTTATGAGGTTTGATAAATGTAATCATCTAAAGCATTTTTGTCAGAGAAGAGAAAACTAGTCCACTGTTGTGATTAAGAAAATATATGAATGCTGAAGAGCTTTTTGAAACATGAAAACTGCATTAAGAAATATGTGAAACAGGCTGAAATAAAACAAGTCATAATTTAGACTTTTGGTTACTTCACCTATAACTGAACAAAGTAAGGAGAAGTGCGTTTGTGCTACACTAACCATCACAGTTCCAATGGGATAAAAGTCTCCGGGGCGGTGAGATGATGGTTTTCCTGAGTGTCTCTGTGTCGCCGTCATCTTTCAGGTAAAGTGTTCGTGTCTCACATTGTGGACTACCTGCGGCACACCACCAGTCGCAGCTCAGAAGACAGTGGACTAGAGGACCTTTGCAACATGCTGGATCCAGAACACAAAGACGTCTCCATTGACCTGGACACGTACCACGCCGTCATGAAGGAGTGGATCGATGACTGCCGCAACAACGGGTACTGAGAAGCCGACATTGAAAATTAAGGGCTTTTTTCTAAAAATATTGATTCCTTAGGCACATGATCCTTTATTTAGGAACTGGGATTTTTAATTTGGTGAGTGAACATCCTGGAACAAAGTCAAGCTTTTGTTAGAGTACCTATTTTTAGATTGTAGGTGGGACAGTTGAAGGTAACCTTTAAAACTTTAAAGTGTGAGAACTGGCACCGTTTATAGACGGGGCAGTGGTAAATAAACAGTTCGTGCAGTTGTTGGTTTCATTTATAGTGAGAGTAAATTAAAACAAATTCTTATGATCTTTTTGTTTGCTTATGTTGTAGTCAAGATCTGCACTATGCCTAAATGAGTCGCCACACGTCTGCTCTTTTATTCTACACATTTGTAGTTGCAGAGATGCAAAGACAGCTTGTACCATCTTCGTCGGTCCTGTGATTTCATTTTAGCCTTTCAGGGAAGAGCGACTCATATATTCTGTTTGAGTTATGCAAGTAGATTTGTGTAGGCGGATTATGCATCATATGAGCATGTTGAGAATGTTTCCATTATAGTTTCAGCTGTGTGCATCTCCATTTAACGAGGAAATTCTGTATCACAGTCTTTGCGCTGCGGCAGGTCTATATGAAAGTGCATTTGACACATCCGATGTAGTTTGACATGACTCGGATGGTGGATTTAAAACTGAAAGTAAAAATATCTATATCTCTTATGCAAGTGGTCACATTTTGGCAAACCTGGTCGAGATGATGCTTCTAAGCCGTTCTGTTCTGGTGTTTAAAGATTGGCCGGATGTGTGGGCTGAATATAAAGCTGGAGACTTCAGTCTTTGAAGGGCTGCAACTGCTGCCATAGACTTCATCTTGTTACTGATGAGACCAGAGGCTCCCTGCATCCACTGTGCATGAAGACATGCTTAATAATAGTTGCTGACCACACACTAGTATAACTGTCAAATGAGCAAGGACTGTGCTCCAGCCTGCAAGCTCTTTCTGTTTGTACATCACGTAGAGGAAGAGTTTCAGACTGAGCAGAGAGCTGAATGTTTGTTTTTTTTAGTTCTCAATGTACCAGGCACCAAAAAAAGAGATCAACAAATCATTTCGAAATGGTTTTAGGGGTCTAAAAGAAACGGCACAGTGCATGACTGCCAAGTCTTACAAAATATTGTGTAAATACTTGATTGGATGTCTTTGTATCTCAGGGAAGAGACACCAGAAGACATCACTCAGGACTCAGTCAAACTCAGGGACAGCCTGTGTGGTGAGTGTGGTTGATGATCACAAATATCTTTGCTTTTAATTTCCTTGTGTTGCATCTGATTTTGATGAGGCCTGGAGTTTGATTTCTGTGTGTGTGTGTGTGTGTGTGTGTGTGTGTGTGTGTGTTTTAGCCAAGAGGTCCATCCTACTCAATATGACCTCGGGAAGCTTGGAGGCCTTTGGAGGGGAGGCATCCAGAGTGGAATTGTAAGAGATGTGTGAATTAGTGTGTCTATGTTTGTATAAATAAGCACTACTATACCCTTCTTTGTATGACCCGCGCCTGCCCTTGATCTATAAAGCTAGGTTGCATTAGCCTATATGCAAGGATTGATTTGTGAGGAGGGGGAGCCCTTGTCCAATGAGGTTGGGGATTGGGTATGGGTCGGTTTTTTTTGTCTGTTAATACAGGTGTGTGGCTTCCCTTTTGTATACAGCAAGCAAGAAAATAGTTTTGGATGCAGTGAAAGAAAAAAAATACTGACAAGCCAAAGTGTGATATGCGGTATTGTTTTTTTACTGTTGCAAATTACTTTATGTATCCTGATTTTAGTGCTATGTAAATACGCTTTACTGTAAGGCTATTATTGGGTATATTGTTGCTTTTTAGATGACAAATTTAATTTGAAATTAAATACCTGTTTATTGTGAAAAGCAATGAGGCGTATCGTTTTTTTTTTTTTAGGTTTTTTCTTTTTTTCAGCCAAGAGAATGTGGTTGCATCTGGTTGCTATGATAACGAATATCCATAAAAGTAAACTTATTTTAGTTTATTTATTTGGAGACACAGGCATCGATCTTGCTGCTGTATGATTCCCAGCTATTTAACAAAGTCATGTAAAAAGTAGCCCACGCTCTACATTTGTTTAGTTAGAGGAAGACAGTGTCTGAAAGTTTGTTTCAAGCCAAACGTATGAGAGAAGGTGCAATTTGGATGTGAGGAGGCAGCACTCAGCTCTGGTGGGCCCAATTTCACCCCTTCCTGTGTGTGTGTGTGTGTGTGTTTCTATCTCTCCTCAGTGAGACTTCAGAGCTGGTGTATTGTGTTGCTGACCTTCAGATGAGCAACCAAAAGCTCCAGGAGGAGGTTAGGAAGCTGAAGCAGGCGGTGGAGGGCATGGAGGACTGCAACCAGAAGCTGGCAGAGGAGAATGAGGAGCTACGCAATCAGGCCAGGGTGTAAGAAGCACTTGCATGCAAATACACAGCACCGATTCAGTGCAGCACTCTGTGGTTTGCTGACTTCCATCCGTTTGTCCTCTCGCACAGTAACCAGCAGCTGGCCCAGAAGGAGAAGATGCTGAAGGAGGAGGTGGAGGACATGAAGGCCACTCTGAGTTGCACGGAGGAAGGCAGAGCTCGTGCCTCGGCTCACGGCAAACATGTGGTCAGTCAAACTCAGGCGGCACAAAGAGGATCTATGAAATGCATTCTTCTTGCATGCTTCAGTGCATACAGAAAGCTCGAGTCTGTTGTTACAAGGGTTTCTTTGCTTTTAGACAATTGCAGCTGAAATGTATTGTACAGCATTGCAAACCAAATGTAAAAGCAGCAACTGTTAACTCCGTTTGGATAAAATATGAACATGCTTGTCCTTTCAAAGCAGGGGAATAGAGCCATGTCGGCCATACAGAATGTTTAATATACGTCGTACACATACCATTCAATTTAGAAAATGTTCGGCATCGTTAGAAAAATTATGCAAGCTTTGAACAAGGCCTGGTGTCGTAGGCACAGTAACGTACACGTCAAGCTGTCGGAATGTAATAGAGCAGAACATGTGTGACTGCGCATGCATTTCCATAGTTGCTATTGATGATTTTTCTTTCTTTGCAGGAGAGAGAGAACCAGAGTCTTATTGCAAAGATCGCATCTCTTCAGGAAGAGGTACTCCACTGTCCAAAGAGAACTTATGTCACTTATGACTTCACAGGGAATCAGTAGTGCTCGTCCATTCATACAGTAGATAGATTACGAGTCTATTGTTACAAGTTCATACATAAAGGATGTGACCAGCTGCCCTAACTCTCCTCTGATGGCTCCCCAGAACTTCAAGGTCACCATGGAGACAGACGCGCTTCGGAGGAGGTTAACAGAGCTGTGTGACATTAACACTGACCTTCAGGTACCGTTACTAACCCTCCATTATAGTTTGTATGTCCCCGTGCCAGCCATAGCAGAACAAGACCAACAAAGCTTTACAAAGTCAAATCAATTATCCTTATATTAAAAATAAAACAAATGCCAAGCAGCTTTACAATCTGTACAGCAAACAAGATCTTGTATCCTCAGACCCTCGGCTAAGATGAGGAACACCTCCCAGGCTTTGATCACATCTTTTATCCAATCTGCCACAGCTCTTTGTAGAGAGGGTGAGAAGGGTTATCAAAGATGCCTTTCATTTTGTCCCTCACCTCCTCTCCAGTAGTGCCTCCACACTGTCACCTAGCTGGCTTTCCTCAGCAGCTGGTTGAGACTGCATGTTTCTCACTGGAATCAATGTCAATATAGTGATAACGTTGCCACAAATCTGTTATCAAATTCTGTGAAAGCCTTCACTACATATGTTATAGTAGAGTCTGGACAGACATGAATGTAAACTGCGACTTGACTGGTTGGCAGAGACATACAACCGCGAAGCAATAATTGTAGTTAGAATTTAATTTGCATTATTACATCTCTGCTCTGCCTCTTCATTCTCCTATCACACAGTGTCATTCTCTTATTCTTTCTCGCCCTCCGGCATTTTTGAGTATATATCTGTTTTCCTTCCTCACATTGAGCTGCCTCAGGTACATTCGAATCACTGTGTTGACCATGCTATGGTTGTACAGTGCTTTCTGTAACTTCTTTCCTTTTCCTCAGGTGCAAATTCACTCTTTTGATGCTGTCGTTGGTGAAAAGGAAGCTGTGATACAAGAGGTCAGTGCCTTTATGTTTTAAGTATCCATTTTACTGTTACTGTAAAACTGCTTGTGGCCATTTCCCTATGCATAACATTCCTTGAGTGCATTCAGCAAAACACTGGCTCAGTGCAAAACCCTGTAAAATCGTATTTGCTTCAGCTACCGATTATGATGCTGTTAAGTTTTTAAAAAAATAATAGTTTCTGGATGATGGGAACAGATTCTTGTCCTGTTTTCTGTTTCTCTCCAAAACTCAAACTGGTGTTTACTTTATTTTACAGAAGCGCAGACAGATAAATGAGCTGAAGTCAACAGTGGAGGAATACTCCTCCATCACAGAGGTCAGTGGGTTGAACTTCACATCATGTCATTATTTCAGTTTCTACGCATCAGCAACCCCCGCTAGTTTCTCATAGATGCTCTCTTACTGCTTTTACTTGTTTCTGATCTATTTTTGCCTCATTCCAATGCAGCAGTTGTATGTGCTGCTTGTGAACCATGTGGTCAACTTCCAGCACTGCTCAGCTGAAATGAGTTTGCAGAACATCAGGCAGTGATTCTCTGATTTGCTTTGTTCAGCAATGATTAATCCTCATGTTAAATACAATTTGAAAAAAGAGGCATATAGATATTTTTTCTCTAAATTAGAAAACAAAATGCTTAAATAGGATTAGAAATATTGGGGAAAATATCTGAAAAGCTAAATGTGATATTTAAATTCAATACAGGTAAAATGTCTGTATGGTAAAATTGACAATTCTCTCGTGTGTGTGTGTGTGTGTGTATTTTGGTTGTGGAGACCAACTGTGGGGATAAAACGGCTGCTGACCTAGTGTCCTTGTGTTGGAGAAAGGGTAGGGAACTGGGATGACCTCTAAATAACTAATGGGATGGACTTAGTCATGTTGGTTTCTCTGTTGTTGATTCCAGCTTCTGAGGGCAGACAAGAGCAAGCTGGAGAACCAGATGCAGATGATGCACCCGGACCTGCCTGGGTGAGTGAACCATGAATAACCTTGGAGTGAAGGGGTCGGCAATATTAAGGGCAGGGGGAAGTAGAAATTAGCCATCTTCAATTTTTCAAACTTTGAATTTATAGAAAAAGAGAAACCCTCCATCCTCAAACTGTATCTTTAAAAAAACAAAACTGTATGTTTTGGTCTATAACTTTGGGACACAATAGTGCATTACCACCTTTTCTAATGAATGTCTTTGTTTATAACTTGTTCGCCCCTAACCTCTGCTCCCCCGTCGTCCTGTCTCTCACAGGGCTGGTCTGTCGCTGTCGGTGGCTTACAGGTTGAACCAGAGCAGCTCAGGATCCCTACAGACAGAATTGGCTCTGGCACAGTCACCACTGGAGGTCAGCAACACTCCCTTACACCGCCTTTTCTTTTATGAGAATTTAATTGTTTCTCCATCTTGCTCTCATTCTCATATCTCTTATAAAACGTTCCATCTTCTTTAATTTTGTCTTAATTCTGACATTAATTCTCTTTTCTCTGCACGCCCTGTTTCATTCTCATTCCTGACAGAGAATTCACGGCTGCTGCATCTCTTTGTCAACTTCCTAGTAGCAGCCAAACTGATGCATTTATAAACTCCAATGCACCCGACATGGATACATAATCCACACTGTCCATCCGCTTTAACAGACACGGCTAGTTTTACAATGTTATGTAATCGCAGTATATATTGCCTCCTCAGTTCTGAGAAGTTCTATGCCTACAGGCTTGTTACATATTCCACACAATACAAAGCACTGTCCAAACATTAGTTGCAGTTCTGCACACGTTGTGTCCTTTGCACAGTCCAGCCTCTCTGTAATAATTGGGTTGGCATATGTTTTAATTCCCTTTTGTTTGTTCGTGTTAATATCTCTTGCAGGCTCCCCATGTAGTTGACCATTTGTCCACCACTATGAGCTTCGTCTCCTCGTTGGATGAGACGCTGGACAGGGAAGTGTTGCTGATGCTGCAGGGACCCAACCCTGAACACATGGCTCTGGAGTTCAAGACCCTCATAAGTTCACTGGTATGTGTGATTAAGTTTGGCATCCATTTGTTCTGTCGTGTGAAATTGTCTTGTAGCATAGTGTGGAACTTTAAGAATTGGATTGGAATGCCATCAAGTGAGAATTAAAAGGTGACTCATCTTGAAGTTTTAATTAAATTAAATTTCTACCATCTTAAGATTGCCTAGACTCTCATATGAGTTTAGAACAATTAGAATAGTATGATGCCACAAGTTTATGAATGCATGTAAACCTGTTGCTAATATTGTGCATGAGACATTTTGGATTCTTGACTTTCCATCTTGAAGTATTTCTTTTACACAACATGCTTCCTCTTTGTCTCTTAGAAAAAGGCTTTCACAGAAGAAACCAACTCTGTCTTGTCTACAGCCAAAGGCTTGCTGGAAGACCGTGCTCAGCCAGCAGGCAACACAGTCACCAGTCTCCAGGTCAGATCCACTTTCACAGACCTACCTGACACTTGATGTAAGCTTAAGAAGTTGCAGCTTCAGAGTACTGCAGTTAGTGCCTGTGAGCAACATATAATGTATGCATATGTGAGCAATATATAATGTATGCATATGGGTGAATTTCAGGCTGAAAAGGGTGGTTTGAGCTTTTTTTTTTTTTTTTTAAATATATGAATCATGAAATGATGTATTGTGATCTCTATCTTCCTCTACCTTTTGCATTATTTTTCTTTATATCTATCTATCGCTGCTCGTTCTCTCCTTCCCACTCACCATCTCTCTTCTCTAGAGAGAACTCACTTATATAACTCTCCAACAGGCCCCGTCCAAGCAGTGTTGTTTAGTCGGTGTGTTGTACCATGAACACAACCCACTCCCCTCCTCCCTCACTGCAACTTTCTGTATCTCTCCCCCCCTCCTCCTGCATTGTTGCCACTCTGCATTCATTAGCCACGTACAGCCACAGTACGTGCAGCAAACATAGCAAATGAGACAGAAACCATTAGTGGAGCAGAGCTGTACCAGTCGTTCTTCTGTTGTTTCTTTGGTGTGCCGGCTGACATGGAAACATTTTGTTAGTTAGGCGTCAGAACTTTTTGGAGGTGTTAAACACACCTAGCTATTCAGGCCGTGCGGCTGACCCTCGGCCTTGTCCTCCCACAGACGGTGCACGCCGAGCTGGACGCGAGAAGGGCCGACTGGGCCCTCAGCCTAGACCAGCTGGCCCAGTACACAGACTCCCTGGAGAAGGAGCTGATCAAAATGGCCAGTAACATGAGGAGGTCCCGCACCGAGATCCTGCACCTTTCAGTCAGGTGAGAAAGGCTTTGTCGTCTGCACTCTCTGTGGAAGTTAAAATAAGTGGTCATTCAGAAATGTGTGAGCTGCTGAAGCGAGTGATGTTTGAAGATTTGGTATGCGAGCAGAGGAAGGTGCAAGAGAGCCGGTCGACAGTGACTTTTGTGCTGGCTAATTAAAGACAACTTGACTATAAGGTAGGAAACTCTTTCTTTGAGAGGAGTTGCGCTTGTGCAGTCGTGATCTCATTGGTTGAATCAAACCCCAGAGGGCAGAGCTAAAGACTTAATTTTCTGGCTAAGTAAGGTAATACTGATGCTACAAAAGAGGACTTCAGAATAAGTAAGAAAGCTAGAAGCTGATTAAATCTAGCAGTGCAATTATGAACTGAATAAAAATGCAGTCTAGGCGTTAGCAACGATCAGGTTTAGCTGATTAGCCGAGCTGACCTTCCTTGTTCAAACAAGCCAATAGCTGTTTCTGTAAGCTTGTAGGAGTACTTGTGGAGCTTGCAGGATCAGGATTAAAAATAATTTACTGATCAGAACTAGAGGATTACATTTTTATTTTTTTTTCTGCTATTAGAGTAGATCTGCCAATCAGAAGTCCGTATTCCTAAAATGGACTAAAACTCCACATAAATACCACCACACGCTAATTAATATCAGACCCCTGCAAATGTGGGTGTCTCTGCTCTCCAGTGCTCTGTCTCAGTTGGCCAGTCAGTTGTGCTGAGTGGGGAAAAGACCTGTCAATCATCCTGACCTCAATGACCCCAAAGGGCCCGCCTCACTAGGTCTGAGTCTGTGCCAACTCTGGACTTCACTCTGACTCTGTGATGGGTTTGCCTTGAGCTGTGTGTGTGTCTGTTTTGTACGTGTGTTCATGGAGACGGCCATCCCCTTCAGATATATAACGGAGCTAGAGTGGTACAGTACACGACCAGAGAAGGAGAACTGGTCAGGCTGTCCATGTTGGATTTACAGGTGTTTAGTTACCAGGGTGAACTCAGGAACGTTCATATTGTTTGGTGAAAACTGAAGAGGGCTAGTTGTAGGTAGAAGTCTACCTCCTGCTTTGGAGTATTTGGGCTAATGTGGACCGACTACAAGACGGTGCTAGGATCAGGGTTTTGTTGTAGGACACATTTGAGATCCGGTGTAGTCTGAGATTAGAGGGTCGGGCTGGGACTGGATCTACAAAACTGTGAAGTGAAGAAACTGTTACTCGGCCAGTCGGAGAACTGGCGCTGGTCACCCTGGGCAACAGAATGGGACACTGCATGGGCCTGCGGATTGGGTACAGTATGTCCACTGTACTGTCTTCTCTAGGATCTCTCTGAACGTGTTTTTCTAGCTCTCTGGAACATTAAGAGAGCTTTGATTTTCTTCCATATTTTCTCTTGAAAAATGAACAATCCCTCAGCTGTTTGTAGAATTTTGTATTGGTGCACGCAGGGTGCAGGAGCAGGAGAACCAGAAGCGGCAGCTGTGTGAGGAGCTGGAGCAGCTGAAGACCCCTCAGGACAGCAGAGAGGCCTCATGCCAGACACCTGCACCAGAGGAAGAGGTCAGAGAGGAGAGGGGGAGGATGGGCGGGCTAGAGCATGGGGCTTCTATCTATTGACCTATATTTAATACACAGCAGCAGCCCCTTGCTTTCACTATGCTCAGAAGTAATATTTTAATCTTAACCTGTAGTCAGTATAAATTATACATACATAGGGAAGCAAGTTTGACCTACAATGTTTGAATATTCACTGGCATGAGGGGTCATAATGGGTTTGAAATTTAGTCGCATCCAATCATTTACATGTGCGTTTTTGTATTTATTAATATTGGATATTGAAGTGTATGCTTGGAGAGCAATGAAGGCTCGTACTGCATTCAGACAGATGGAGTATCTGCTGGAGAGTCGAGTCCGAGCTGGCGGCTGAAGTGGACATGTGTACCCCCACACACGCACACTTTAGATGTGACCACACACACCTACACACTGCTCCTCGCGCAAAATGCACTGACACGCTTGAACATTTCCATTACAGCACCGGTGTTACTGCAAAACACAATGAGTTTGCTGCTGAGGTAGAGGGATTTGCATACAGTAAACCAAGTTGTGCTCTGAAAAATAAAATAATGCAGCTCTTACTTTGAAGTCATTTACACAGTATAGCCCTGATTCAGGGAAGAACAGATGCAATTACATTTGCCCTGCATTTGTTAAACAACAAAAATAACAAGATAATAATAAGAGAAGAGAATACATGAGCTCTGTTTTGTTGATTTTTTTTTTTTTTTTTTTTTTTTTTTTTTTTTTTTTTAATTTATTTATTTTTATTTTCCTAAACTGATCTTTGCTGTGATTTTTGCAGAAAAGGTACTTTTTCTCACGGGTGTCTGTTGGAAGATTTAGAATTTTTCTTTAGCAGTAGTTCTCTTTTCAGTCGCTGCTGACCATCAGCCTCATCACCTCCAGTTGGATTTTGCCACAGTGGAACTCGTTACAATCAGGCTTTGCCAGTTTCTTGTGCATCTCACCATTGCACTCTTTTTATTGAGACCTCGTCTTTCCCTTTATTTTATTTTCTTAGCCTGGAGATGACTTGGACTGGGATGAGGAGTTTGCCCTTCAAGACTTCCTGAAGAACGAGTTAGCAGAGAGGAATGGCAAAGAACAGGGCGGGCGAACGGAAAGAGGTGAAGACGAGGACGTGGAGGAGAAGTGGACGGTGGTGGACACAGCTGGAGTGGGAGAAGTTAGGGGCACGTCCACCCCTCTGTCTGTCCTCTCTGGGGAGGCCCAGCCTGGGCATGGTACAACAGGAGGGGGTCAAGGTGATTGGGAACACGAAGGTGGACATAACGACCACCAGCCAACATCTCGGTTTTAAATAAGTAACTATTATTGAATAATATGAATTAACATAAAATCTTCAAAAGCTGTCTCAGGAAAAGTGGTGAACTGAGCATTCTTCCTTGAGCCTTTTTAAAAATCCGGTATACACCAGAATTATCCCCTCGAACTTCATAAAGCCCAAGCCAAATGGGCTAAATATAGTTTCATATTTTTGTAACCCCATTCTGACCCTGTTCCTACTTCTGGATCCAACTCAGTAGAAATAAGCTAGCCTAATGAACAAGAATGTGATCTAATACGTCCTGCTTCTTCTTAGCGTGACAGTATTGAGACCATACTTGTGTGTGAGTACTATAATTTGATCCACATTTATATAGCTCTAGATTAGGTATGCCTAAATTAAACATCAACTCAAACCACAGCCAATGTTGGCCATAAATATACACATTATTGGTATTGATTACTGTAAGCAGCAATATTTTAGTAATTGAAGTCTTTCTTACTCTCTTAGATCCCTATTGTGAAGCCAGACAGCACCGTTTTTAGTCTCAGACCAACTAGTTAAACATTAAGCTGTGACTTGAAGTTCAGCTGGTGCACCAATTTTCAGGTTTCACTGACTTACAAAGTACTTCACAGGATAAACTCTATAGGTGAAAACAGCTTACAGACTCCGTTATTGTCTTTGGGTGTTGATTTGTGTGTGTGAGAGTGTGTGTGGATTATCCCCCTGTAATCCATGGGAGTCACAAGGCACTCAGCCACCCTTGAAGCACCAGTACAGTACACACATTCATTCGCTGTAAGGATACACACACTCTGAGGCCCTTGGCAGTAGACCCCTGCCTTCTATGGTTGTTGTGGCCCTGGTTTTATAAAGGTTGTGGGTGCGTGTGTCTACACAGTATGTGAAAGCCTCTCTTCCTCAAGACCCTTGTATGGCCAGGTGTACGACCGGTCTGAGGCCCCGATGTGAGCTCAGTAATCCCCCATTCCTCTGCCTGCATGAGCGGCTGGCAGGCAGAGAGAAAGAAAACGAGAATGTGGTCATTAATGCCACCTGAGCCATGCATGATATTTTAACCTCTCTGCCCCTCCCTGAACTCGATGCCTTGCATGATAGACGGTCTGACCTTTTATGGTAAAAGGTGGGGTTGCTTTTAAATGGCTATTAACCCCTGTAGATAATGTGAACAAGCGTTTGGGTGTTTAATGAACAGCTTGTTTGTGTAGTTATTTTTTTCCCGGCTCCTCTGTTCTCTTTTCATTTTAACTATTTTTATATTTCATTTTTCTCTCTTATCTGTTACAGAGCCTGCAGCCTGCACAGAGTCAGAGCCAGATGTGAACTGTCAGTCTTTGCAGGTAAATTGAATTGTGACTTTTCCTGTCACTGGGATTATATGTATATATGTGTTGTGCAAGATGCTAACCACGTTTGAGATTATGCCTGGATGTGGCCTTTTTGTTTATTGTCCTTTAACCCCTTAATAACCTTAATATTTTACTAAATATGTTCTCAAAATAGCACAAATTTGATGACAATGGTCTTGAAGTAGTTCAGCAATTAATTACTGAAATCATTTACGTGCATGTTATTTAATGGAATATTCTACATCCCTTAAAACATTAACTAAAAAAACTTCAGAAAACGTAATTTCTTTCAATTGCTGAATAAATGTCAAATTCATCTTGAACATCAAAGGCTCATTTCCAGGGGGATGTTGCTAACTGTAGTTTTATACCTGTGTAAATGTTTCAAGGAAATAATTCCTTTAATAATATAGCTACACTGAATGTAACTTCCAGCCATCTTTCAATCTCTGTAAACCACGTGCCCAAATTCATTTGTGATGGCTCACATGTGATCATATGAGGATAACCCCAGTTTGACCTTATGGACCCATGTGCCTGTGGCTTTAGTGTAGTGACTTCAGGTCTATGTAAAAGATAAGCTTGTTAAGCATTAGGATCCTTTTCATTTCAACAGTTTAGTGTCACCTTGATATTACAAATTAAACAAAAGCATCAAAAGAAATTGCTGCTGTTCATTGAAAAACATCATTATACATCACAGGGATTTCTAAGCTTTGTGCATGATCTTAAATGGGCTGAAATATCCTCATTGCCTTATGGGGGGAAACTTGGTTTGACAAGTTCAAATCAATTTTGAGAATCAAGGATTTCAACAAATAAGAGCGACACTTAATACAAGATACAGTTTCAAAAGACTTTGTTGGATTAATAACAGCTGGGCTGTAGTGCAGAGGACGAGAGACTTCTTCCAAACCACAGCACTGTTGAGGTTACAGCTGGGGACACGTGACTGACTGAGTTTGCTGGTTTGAATTGACACCCGCTCAGAAAATGTGGGTCGTTTCTATCTGCACCCTGAACAACTACCACTAAGGTGCTCTTGAGCAAGACATTGAATCTCGGCATAGTGCTGCTGTTGTAATTGGCAGCTGCCAGGTGTGTGACAGGTATGTAACTGTGTGTCAGCGGGAAGCATGACCGTACCAAGGCTCAGCTTACATTGGCCTAAAAGATAAAATCTTTGCTGTTTCTGGGAATATGGTGTAAATATACACTTCCTTAATGGTGATTTTGACGTGAGTAGGAAGTTATGATTAACAACGTCAAGGGGGATTAGAGCGCTCTTTTTATTCATTTCATTACTGTATCAAAAGTAGCTTGAAACTTGCCGGCGGTGGGTCTAGTCACACCTATCACACTTTTTGCTACATATATGGTAATGCAAAAATAAATGAATCTGTTAATCTGAAGCAGCATCAGGTGGAAACAAAAGACATACTGATCAACTCATGGTTGATTTGGTTGAAGTGCTCGCATCAGGGGAGCTGTACTCATCAGCCCTTGACCAGTGACTTAAAAATCTTAATGTTTTTGCTGACTTGGGCTTTTTTTATTATGTAATCTAATGGATATTTGAGGTGAGACAGAAGAGCAAAGGCAACATTAGGGTTTCATGTTTAGACTGACCTTGACCCTCCAACCATATACTCAGAAGTCTGCTGTTGCTCAGCCGATAGCGGCCACAACTTCAGAAGTGACTATCATCTATCATCATTTGCTTATGTATTTTTCCCCAAATTATTGAAATTATGGATAACGGTGTTTGTTAGCTTTCTGATATCTGTGTCTTTAGGCGGTGTGGGGGTCCAATATGGGCTCAACTCTGAGGGCCCCTGTCTCCTGAATGGTTGGTTCTGATTCTGGTGAATCAAACTACGTTCTAACACTCTCTCATATCGGTGAACATGTAGGGAAAAAAGTTCAAATCGAAAGGGGTGAGGCCAGAAAGTGAATGATGGGAATGTCCTTGAACGCTCCATCAAAAAGGAGGGTTTTAAACAGTCACTGTCACGTGTTGCATACATCTGAAGTATCAAGTTAAGTTGCTATATGTTTATCACAGTATACAGGTGTTATTCTCTCTCTCTTTCTTTCTTTCTTCCTTTTTTTTTTTTTTTTTTTTCTCTTCCTTTCTGCCATTTGCCTACCAAATAGCTCTTCATATATCATCCTTTACAGCCTCTGCTCACAGGCAGCAGTCTTCTTGCTTTTGCTGATGCCTTCCCCTTCCTTATATAGAATGACTGACAGTGAAACTGTCAGGTCACTCTGGGGTAACAGGGAAATGACTTGCGGTTATTGACAAAAGAAGAGATCATGCACTGGCATTTAAAGAACTTTATTCCAAATATATTCTGCACCAAATAGTAAGACGTGTTATACACTGAACTACACATTACGAAGCTATGATCTCGATGTCTTTTCACACTTCATGATTTTGGATGTTATGCATTCTACTCACTTGCAGGCCGCAATGCCTAATTCATTTTATCCCTGCAAGGTTTTTTAAACTAATTTCAACACTCCATCATTGCTGCAGTCGGTATGACAGTGATGGTTGCTTTTGAATTCTTCTGACATTAATTGGGGGTCTTTCCAACAGTCCATCACTGATGGAACAGATGCTTTGTGCTGTCTGTCAGCTGTTTAGATTTCTTGGCTCCTTATGCAATGTCTTCTCATCTGACAAAGATTTGTTTCTATTGACCCATTGTTTGCCGGCTGTTTGGTACATGGTTAATGTTTGTTGCTTATTTGATCTTTGCACCCCTTTCCTTTTCTTAATTGTGTGTGTGTGTTGCAGGAGGCAGCAATGCCATTGAGCACCCACTCACAAGCTGTCAGCATTAGACACCCAGTGGCAGATGCTCTCCCTGATCTGCTCCACTCAGAGAACAACGGTAAGACCTCCGCCTCTCTCTATGTGGCTCACACACTATCTTTCTGTTTTAACTTTGTCCTCCCCCGACTGTCAGCTAGTCGCTCGACTGCGTGCATTTACAACTTCAGCAAAGAGTGAGTCATTTCCTGACTCACTTGGTACGTTTAAACTCTAATATATACCACAGTATGAGCATCGTTTTTACACCTTGACTGCTTTGTAAAATCATGTACATAGTGACTGCATTACTGCAACACACACTTATCACAGTTATTGATCCTTTGTGTTTACTTATTACTGATTATTTTACTTTCCATATAAACTACATGGAGAAAAATGTTCCCAAAAAAAAGTTGAAAATGTGCATGCAGGTCACACTGAGCTGTAATACTAGCGTGCTTTGACCACTTCTCTTGTCTCCACAGATGCAGAAGCTCTAGAGACTGCAGAGTCTCCCTCCTGTGGTCAAACTCAAAATCTGAGCAACTCTGCTGAACAGGACCAAACGGTCACACTTAGTAACACCCCTCCCACAGCAGCCCAGATGGTTCCTCCCAGCAGCACATCCCCTGGACAAGATGACACTATTACCCAGACTGAGAGGTGAATGATTGTGTATGAAACACAGTATTTATTTCTTATTTCTTCTTGCCTTTCTTCATATGAAAATTCCAAATTCCCATCTCTTCATCATACTTTATCTACAGACACACCTGTTCAGTTGGTGCTTTTTAGGATTGGCCAATCCCACCAGAGGCACGAAACAGAAGTTTCCATAGTCAGGAAATGTACATTACCACAGAGCCTCAACCCACATCCTGACTTACTTTCAAAGCAGTATAAACTATCCCTCCCTGATAGATTTGAAGTTTATGGGTGTTGGCCACAATGCTCTCACAGTTGACTAAACCATTTTCAAGTTTCGTCATTTCCGTATGACTTGGTCCACATTTGTTAGTCAAATGGGTGTTTCCTCCCTGTGGGAGGAGTGTGCAGGCTAATTAGTATTTCTGCAGCGATGCTTTGCATAGGCACAGTCTACCTACACAGAGACGAAAGCTGTTCCTCAATCTCTCACCATTTCACACTTTACCAGTTGTGTCTCATCACAAAGTGTATCTAATTTACAAATCCGGAATGAGAAATTAGATACTGCTTTACCTTTGACCTTTCACCTGTGGTCAGCACCCAACCGACCAGTGAGGACCACTTGGGAGAAGAAGAGAGGGAGCGAAAGGCGGACTCGAGCACAGGAGCCATGAGTCGTACTAAGGTTAGTAGCAGAGGGGAAGTGTTTTAATGCATAAGGGAATAGAACTTCCTCTATTATTTTCAGCACCAGCTCCCCCTTACTCTTTTTCACCCTCTCTTTCTATTTCTCTCTGCCACTTCATGTGTTCTAGCTGAGTGACAGGAGGTGTGTTTTGAAGTGAGGGGGCTTTCAGTGGGCAGGGCGAGGGCTGGTTGAGAGGGAGTCCTCGCCCTGGGAAAGGAAAGATGTCAAATTATGGCAAAAATGTAAGGAGAATCAAGCGGCCATCAATCACTGTGCAAGCCTATGACTCAAGGAGGGTGGGCTATCTGGCAACAGAGGAAGCAAAGTATGCAAGTACTAAATGCTTAATATGGCTTACTAAGGTGTCAATGTTGAAGTGCTTTGAAGAATAATTTTTAAATAGGTTTATTTTTTAATTAAATTGAGATGGCATCTGAATTTACCAGCGTGCACATTTTAAATTGTCATTTAGTTTGATTAACAATCATATCAGGTTAGAATGATATTAAATGGTTAACATTTGAGAGGCTGAAACAACAAATGTTTTAGCAGGTTGTTTCTGTTCCCATCGACGGACCAAATGTGATTACAACCAGTTGTATAAAAGCAGAAGAATCCGTCAACAAGATGAGTGATGTTCCAAAGCTCATTAGCAAAGCCTGGACACAGCAGATCATCACTGTATCCTCTATGTCTGGACCAATTAGTGTTTTACAATGGGTTGCTTTGATGTGTGGGCTATACAATACGATTGCTTCATGGTAATTTTGCCCAACCTCAGATGGGCTTGCAGTGTTTTCATGTTGGAGCCGAGGCTCGCTCGTGTTGTGATGCTGTTTCACCACAGTCTGGTTTGCATCCTGCTGAGAGATTGATCAGCTCGGTTTATTTAGCCTCCTATCTGCTGGACTGCCTCCCCGCTGAGAGTCTGAGGCAGCCAAGAAAGGACTCTGTGGGGGTGTTCAGTACGTCAATAAAATGCAGTTTCACTCCCATAGAAGCATGGTCAAGAAAGGTTTTCTGCCAAATCGAGGCTGATTTAAGAATCGTTTTTAGTCGACCAAGAGACTGAGTTGAGTTTCTTATAAAGCAATCATTTGGATATATTCAAATATCCATTACCCAATTTTACTTGTAAATGGAAGATATTTTCATAGGACGTCTCCCCATAGTTATGTTGGTGGTAGGAAGTATAAACATAGTATTATCTCACTATTAATATTTTGTGAAAATGATTCAACATAAGATGGCATAATTGAATAAAATTCAATAATTTGTTATGTTGTGCTAATACTCAACAAATCTGACAAATTTTACTATTTCTAGAGACAATAAATGATGACATCATTAAATCATGACTGATGCCACCTTACATGTTGTCCGGGGACATTAATGTGCAACAATGAAAATCAAAGTTGTTATGGATTATCACTTTATTATCTAGCACAGAATAACGACATTTTGGGGGTTTGGATGATTTCAACTTTTGGAATATAGCTATAGGCAGGACATTAGGCAGTTATGATGCTGCAAAGAGGCAACAGAGGAGCAGCCGGTGTTTCTTTGGATGTAAAAGGACATTAAAGACTCCTTTGTGCAGTGACATGGTGAGGCAGCTCTCTCCTATTTTCAGCTGTCAAGCGGATATTATGCATACTCATTACACAATATCCCGTTGCATTGCTCCGAGTGCTCACCTTGCTCCTGTGTGTGTGTGTGTGTGTGTGTGTGTGTGTGTGTGTGTGTGTGT